AAAAAATCCGCACATAATAATTTGTTATATTGATGTAACATATGTTTGATGATCAACCGCCATCGAACACCACAATAAAAACTGTAATGATTTCATCCGCCTTGGTGTTTTTATGAAGGACTGTCTAAATTCAAAGGTGCTGAGGTGAAGATGTTAGATATAAATTTGACACTATTACATCATGGGGTGGCCAAGTGACAATTCTGGCCTCAGTAAACAGATGTTGACGAAATAAAAATAATACTATATGCATGAATTCAAGATAGTGAGTGATCTCCCGATCTGAATAAGGGATCGGCGGATCGCATATATATTTAACCAATACTTATCAAAGTGAAATTGCTTATTTGCAAATTTACAGTGCTGGTGAAAAAAGTTTGAAGAATGGTGTTCTGTTATATCCTATACATGTGCATTGGATGACAAATAGCTTTGGAATCAAACAACAAATTCTTTTAAACTCAAGCACAAGAAGGAAAAGTTCACATAATAATAGTTTTTATACATGAGAAATTACATTTGAAATCACGTTTTAAACAAATTTATATTAATGAGAAACAAAAAGTTCATTGTAACGCGGATTTAATTTAAAATTCGCCGAAACAAATAATTTTTCATTGGATTAATTACTTGTGTTGTTTTTTTTGAATTATATTAGAAGCTATAATAAAGTTTAACTCATTAATATCTGGTGAGGTAAACATGTTGGTTACTATTTTTGACCAGTAAGCAATTCAAATAAAAATTTTGTATATTTATTAATATATAGAAGAATCCGGTTTTAATAAAATCAATCAATTAATCTTGCCAATATTCATGGAACCATGAAATTTTGGCTTTAACTTCGATTTTTATGTTCACACCAAACTCTCTTCCGATATTATATATGGTTAATATTTTTTGTTCTAATTTATTAGATAAAGTAAATAAATAATAAACCAAAATAGTGCATTTATTGGACATAAGACATATTTAAGTGAATGAATGAATGACAATGTATCGGAGTAAATTTAAGACATATCTGCCAAAAATAGGCTAATAAACAGAATCAGGATTTGAACTAAATTTAGAAAAATCATGAATGAGTCACGGGATAATGCAAATTTGAATTCATCAAGTCCATTGTTAACAATTGTTTTTTTTTTAGTCTTTATTTGGTTTGCATTCAATAATCCCATTTATACTTATACAGTGAGGTCTCGATTAGCGGCCCTCGATTTAACGGTCCCTATTTTGAAAGTCAGATAAATTCTTTTTGATATAACAAAATTTTGGAATTGCCCTTATATTGTGTAGTGCCTATTCTTATTATTTCGATGCTCTTTTGATTTCTTGGTAAAGTTGCTTTGCTTGTTCACCAATTAGGAGTTTTTCCGTTAATCATATTTAATCAATTTATATAAAAAATATTTAATTCACCAACACATATCTAACTTTTCGTTTTGTACAGGAAAGATTTTTGGTGGTTCCAAATAATAATAATAATAATAATAATAATAATAATAATAATAATAATAATAATGGTAACATTTTTACCCAAAGATTATCAAAAATACAAAACTCAAAACAGATAAAAAATTTAATTGTTCTAATTAGTGATGATGATTTTATGTGGGCTAAATTTAGTAAAAGGAAAATCTGTTATCATTATGTCACCACACTCAATAAATTTCCCTTTACAAAAAACAAAAACTATATTAAAAATAAAAATATTTTATTCTAAATTCAAACAATTTTATGAAATTTCTCCTTTTTCCTACTTGTTATAATATAAATAAATATATAAATGGATCCTATTGAGGTGAAAAGTTTAAAAATTACTTGAAAATATTATTTTTCAACATTTAATTAAAGTATGAATTGTTAAATAACAACAGTCTATAAGATGGTCCGTTTTGGAGAAATTCTCTAAAGTTGCGAGAATTTCACGAGAAACAGCTGGTATATGCATCTATATTTCTAGATTTTTATTTATTATTTCACATTAGAGAGAGACAGAACATATATGTTAATTAATTATTTAATTATCAAATTTTAGTACAAATCCTTGAGACTCCACTTGCACGACCGATAGTTCCATATCTCCCACCTGCTATAAATCAATTAATTCAACCAGAGTCTGAAGATAATTCCGTAAATGAATATGATGCTGGCAGAGTTTATCTTGCTAAATGGGCATTAAAAGTTGACGAAGAAGCAAGAGTATCTGCACGTCAAGAATATTTAGCAAATCATGGTGAAGGTGAGGCATCATCAAATATTATAAGAAAAAGATGGTCAGATCCTAAATCATGGGAAGAAGAAACTGAGGTGGGCGCTTTTGAAGTTTTAAATGTACGAAAAACTTGATTTTATATGCCACATATATATGTATATAATCTAATGTCATATTTATTATTCAAAAAATGATTTTTTTTAATTTTTAATTTCATAATAATAATAATTTTAAAAAAAAGGTCGATTTAAATTATCCACCACTACTTTCAACACGATCTACTTCCCTTAGTCCTGAGAAATGGTTTTCATCATTGGATTCTGAGGGAAGATTAAAAGTTGAAGTTGATGAAATCCGTGAAATTATATTTCGTGGGGTAAATATTTTTACACATATAATTTATTTAACATTAATTTATTTATCCTGCTTTTTTTTTTATTTAAAAATTTATATGGTTTAAATAATATACAGGGTATCGATGATGATATTCGTGTTGAACTTTGGAAATTTCTTTTGGGTGTGTACCCATGGGATTCAAGTCAAGCTGAAAGAGAATATATAACACAAACAAAAGAGTAATAATTATTTATTATTTATTATTTATTATTCATTATATTTATTAATTGGTTGATTGATGATTATTTTGTTTTTCAATTACATTTAATTAGAAAAGAATATTGGGATTTGAAAAGTAAATGGTGGGATTCAGTTGAAATACAAAATGAAGAAGATTTCAAAGAACAAAAAATTAGAATAGGTTGTTATTATTATTGTTGTTGTTGTTGTTGTTATATTATGATATTATTATCATAATATAGTTCTTCAAAAATTATTATTGCTAAGAATACCAAGAAAATTTTACTTTATTTTAATAGAAAAAGATGTGATACGCACTGATCGTAGTAATTCTTTTTTTGCTGTAGAAGATATACCACATCCAGATCCATTATCTTCGGCATCATCACCATTTACAAATAAAAACCTTGAATTAATGAAAGATATTTTAATGACATATTATTATTATAATAAAGATCTTGGTTAGTTAATTTGATTTTTTATTTTCTGCTCGATAATATTTAAAAAATTTATAATAACAGTTATAATAATATTTTTTAAAGGTTATGTACAAGGAATGAGCGATTTACTTGCTCCCATATTTGTCGTTATGCACGACGAAGCTCATGCATTCTGGGCATTTGTAGGATTTATGGAACGCATGGTAGATACCGCTAATTTCCTTCTTTCTTCCTTTTCAATAATTATCATTAACAATTAATTTTCTGAATATTTAACAAGATTTAATTATTATTGATTAAATAGAAATACAACTTTTATCGCGATCAATCTGGGATAAGACGTCAACTTTTAACATTAGATTATTTGATTCAATTTATGGACCCACGTCTTTATGAACATCTTCGTAAGTAATTATTAAATTAAATGATCATAAATTATAATTATCCATGTTAATTTTTATTTATCATCATTATTAGGAAAGACTGATGCATTAAATCTTTTCTTTTGTTTCCGATGGATTTTAATTTGGTTCAAAAGAGAATTTAAATGGGATGAGGTTTTACATTTATGGGAAGTTCTTTGGTCTGACCATTTATCCTCGCAGTTTCATTTATTTGTTGCTTTAGCAATTTTGGACAAACATAAAATGGCAATCGTTGAGCATTTACATCGTTTTGATGAAATATTAAAGGTATCATTCATGATTTATATTTTGCCAATATTATGAAAATTTATTAATTTAATTTAATGATATAATCATTATATATTTATATAGTATGTTAATGATCTATCAATGACAATTCCAATTGATGAAACTTTATTACGTGCCGAGACACTATTTAATAAATTTAAACGAAAAATTGAAATTCTCGATAAAAAAAATTCAACAACAAAATCATCATCAAATCAACAACAAAATGAAAATCATCATGATGGATTAAGGAAGCGTAAAGGTAAAGCGGCTGCTGAATCAAATGATAATAACAGCCAGGATGTTGGCGACGATAATAGTAATATCAATAATAATAATAATAATAATGTTGGTTCATCACCGTCTTTGTTATCACCACCATCATCTTCGTCATCATCATCTTCAAGTACCACCAATAATATTAATGGTAACTCACAAGTACCAATAGTACACGATTCGTTAAGAGGACTGCTCAGCAGAGAATTGACTAAATACGAATAACAGTAATAATAATAGTAATAATTATAAGTATTGTTATTATTATTATGTAAATTTATTACATATTTATTATTGTGTCATTGATTATTTAGAATATACAAATAAAAAGATTGATATTTAAAGATATCAATATATGTAATATATATATATTTAAAAAAATACATATTAATAAATAATTATTTTAAGCAGTTTATATATTAATATTATAATATTAATAATCCGTTTATTCTTAAAACAATTTCCAATTTGGTTAGCGTCCCGCTTTTTATTATGGATGTGCCAAAAACCCTACTACTACATGAATTTGCAATTCACGTTAAATTCGCACCCATATTTGATTTCAAATTTACAAAGTAATGTAGAATTTTCAGTCAGGCCACCAACAGAAGATTAGTTATTGCCGCTACTACTACGGTTTTATTTTTATTTTATTTTTATATTTCTTATTCCAAAAAGAAATGCGGCTGCGCCGCGTCTTTTTGGGATTTGAAATCTTCGTTTTAAGCAGTGTATGAAGGGGCAAACGGCTGCTAAGGCCTCAAATCTGTGCTGTGCTCTGGAACATACTGTTTAGAGTTGAGGAACTTTTAGTTATCATTCGCACATAGACTTCAATATTTATGGTTATTTATGACTATTAGAAATACTTGCGATTATTCGAATACTTATTATTATTATCATTATTATTATGGCTATTCAAAAATATTTGACTTCCATTATTTACCCCTTTTGGAAATTATATATAGTATAAATATTCAAATTTGATTGGGTAATTCCCAGAATCTGCGTCATGGATGGATAGTTTAGAAGCCTTTTGTAAAGTGGAGAGTGAACGAATACCCCTCCAACTGGTGATCATTGAAACTTAAATTTCCTGCGAGTGTACTTGATTAAAACCAATCAATCGCTCTGATTTGGCCGATTTTGACCAAAATAATTCAAGAGGTTAAATAAACAAATTTACGCTTTCGTCAAGAAAAAAAGAAAAAGGCAGGCGAAGCAACCTTGGTAAATTAATTATTAATTAATTCGTTTTTTTCATCAGAGTTATATATTTACGAAAATGAAAATCACGCTTGCACTAAATAATTTATACAAAGTGTTCTGATGGTAACTGATAAAATTTTTATTTTATATATAATGAATATTATTATTATTATTATTATTATTATTATTATTATTATTATTATTATTATTATTATTATCATTATCATTATTAATTTAAATTATTCTTGTTAGGTCATAATAATAAATAAATAGAAAATGAGAGATGACGATGGTAATTATAATGATGATGATTTTTGTCTAAATGCAAATTAATTGATTAATTATTACTTTTAAAATTGATTAATTATTAAATATTTTATATTTTTATGAATACGGATCAAACATCGTTAAATCTTTATCTATTTTTTGTCCATTTGAATTTGAATTGTTGGTAGACGAATTACTTTGTATGACAGTTGGTTGCAATATTTTCCCAGCATTAAATTTAAATTCTGATGGTGGTTTATTAGTATTATTATTATTTAAACTAGGTGTGGTTGAGTTATATAAATTATTTAAGGATCCAAATGAATTTAGAGTTGTTGAATTATTTCCTAAATTATAATTACTCAATATTATTGGAGTTGAATTCTTTGGAGGTGGTATTGATGGAATACTGTTTATTATCGATGATGACGAATGTGGTGGTGTTATTTTATTCAATAACTGACTATTATTATTATTATTATTATTATTATTATTATTATTATTATTATTATTATTATTATTATTATTATTATTTTGTTGAGTAATGGTGGTAGTAATGGTAGCACTGTTGTTAGTAGTATTAGTTGAAAAGCCATTATTCAAATTTTGTGCTGTAGAATAATTTGCTTTTAAAGAATTAAGAGCAGGAAAAGATGCTTGAATATTATTTGAAGTTGTTGTTGGTGATAATAGTTTAGAAGTGAATTGCGAAGTCTATTTTAAATAAATAGAAACCATCCAAATTAGAAATTTAATTATAATAATGATTTTTATTAATAACCTTTCTATAATTTACCTTATTTGAAGAAGCTAACGATGAAATAAAAATTGGAACTGAATTAGCCCCTGGTTTATCAAAAGGATCCGGTGATATTTCAATTGATCCTATATTGCCTCCTGCTGAAGAATAATTATTATTTATATCACCACTACCGGTAGAACCAACTAGTTTTTCAAAATCAACTGGAACGCTTTTTTCGCCATTGGTACCTGCACATCAATAAATAAATTATTTAGCTTAACTGACCGAATATTTAAATATTTAAAGATAATTATATAGACATATGTATTAAATCAAATTACCTTTACCACCTTCCAAATGTTTTTTAGAACTATCTTCGATGCTTCTAATATCTTGTAATTGGCGTGAATGCAAATTTTCAACTTTTTGACTTAATCCTTTGATAACTTTCATGAATTTTTGAAACTATAAATAATAAAAATTTACAAAATATAAAAGATCATTCTTTTTTTTTTTTTAATAAGAAATATTTATATGAATTTAGCTTGCCTGTTCAAGATTTAAAGTGGGAACGATTGATAATTTCCATAGATGCGGTATAATTTCTGTTGCTAATACATCCTTTTCCATATTTTTACCCATTTCTTCATAAACAGCAAGAGTATTAACCTAATAAAGTACAAAATTATAAAAAAAAAAAATATTACTAATCATATCAATTGAATGTCAATTATATTTATTGTTATTTTACCATCACAGAGGGCTCCTTTGTTTTAATTCCTCTTAATAAAGGCATTAATTTTTCAGTCATTGTAAACTTTAAAAAGGGAAAAATTAATGTTAATAATAATAGAAATAATTTTTATGTCAAAAAAACTTTCAAAATACATTATCCAATGATTTTATTAATGTTTGTAAACAAGTTAATGTTGTAACTTTTACTGCCAAAATTGTTGTATGAACAAATAGATTCTAAAAATGTATGACAAAAATAAATTCAGTTAATCATTCATAATGTGTGTGTGTGTATTTATTTTAGAGAAATCTAGTCTGTAATAACCTGAATCCTTGGAAATAATGAAGATTTTACTGTAGTAATATCTAACCTGTCTAATACATTAGGTACAACTCTAAGAGCTTTTTCTTGTATTGCTGGAGATTTTGCCTCTAACGCAAAATAAATTAATGGCATAACATCTTAAAAATGCAAAAAATATTTTTTTTTGTTTTTAAAATTTAAATACCATGATAAAAACAAAAAAAATATATAGATATATATTAAAAATAACCTTACCCTCTTTAAAAATTGACGTTGACGTTTTTGATTTAAATAAATCTATTTTATCTAAACAAATAATCATGCTTTGCATAGGTTCAGATATAGCAAAAATTGGCTTAAGTGGCTTCAAAATTTTTTCATAAAAATCATCAAGTTGAATTTTTTGTGAAATAAAAAATATATTTGGCAAAATAAATGGAAGAAGATTCTGATCTTTAATTTCTTGAATAAGACATGGCAAAATCTACATATTATTAATAAATTTAAGGGAAAGTTTTTAATATTAATTGAAATAAAAAAAATATAATTATAAAATTGTGCGTTGTACCTTTCTTAACAATACTCTTTCTGGAAATTGTGGTAAAATACGTATTAGTCCCTTCATGAAATTTGCTTTGTCATCATTACTTTTTTCTGGGAAGCTTTCAAAAAATTTTACAGTAGAAACTAAAATGTTATCAAAATATTTGCTTGATTGAAATTCTGTTGCGTTCATTCTCTGAGAAGGATAACGTGTTATAAGATGAAACATAACCTCTGGATATTATTAAATAAATAAATACCAATTATCAGTTTCATGTTGAATGAAAAAAATTTTTATTCTTTAAATTAATTACCGTGTAAATGAGGAGGAAGTTGATTGTAATTAAGAGATGATATTTGTTCGGCGTTTTTTCGAAATGTATTCATGCTATTATGATGTTGTAATGGTCCTTTTCCATGATTGTGTACTGTGTATATTAAGCATCCAAGAGCAAACATGTCATTTGCAAAATCAACATTTTCATCCAATGCATACTCCGGTGCTGATATATAAACTCATTTAATTAAAAAAATCATCAAAAGTGTTCATTACTGCAATATATATACTCTAATTACCCATAAAATCATAATTTTTTTGTGCATAAGCCGGTATACGTGAATCAAAATCAGGATAATCGTAAACTGAAGAATTATCAATGTTATTTAAATAAACACTAAATCCAAATCTAAATCGATTCAAGAATAAAATTTGTTGAGATTAATCTTTCCTTTCATCCATTGAAAAAAATATATAAACTCTTATAAAAATTATTTACCCTCCAATTTTCCAATCACCCTAATTGTCAAACCAAAAAAAAAATTATAGACTTTCAGTTTTATTATAAACCATTTCGATTATAAACAAACGAATATTTATATATATTATTTATTACCTTTACGTTAACAAATATTGCTTCCGGGACAAGATTTGAGTGTACAATTTTGGCATCATTATGACAAAACTGTAAACCTTTTCCAATTTGTAATAATCCTTTCTGTATCTAAATATATTTATTTATTTGTAAATATTTAAAGACTTTTAATAATTTAAAGATTGTAATGTTTCTTTATAAATATTTTCATTACGAAAAAAAATGTTTAATAATAAATTAGTTAATATTAACCTCTAATTCATCCATTTCAAATTTTCTGATATCATCTGGAATAGGTGACAAGTTGTCGTAATTACCAAGTAAATTTGAAAGTGACGCTATAATTGGTTCTGTTGCGAATGTAATAACAGTCCTTGACTCTTCAACTGCTTCTACTACTTCAAGAATTGATGGATGCCTTAATCTAGAAAGTTGGCTAGCCTAAAAATATATAAAATTCTAAAATAAATTACAAAGCTTTGATATATTAAATATTATCTTTTAAATAGGAACCTCTTTTTTTAAAACTGAATATACTCGATCTGATTCTCTTTTATCAGTAACTTTTCTTAATGGATTTTCTAAAATCTTTTTTTCAAACATCTGAATAAATTTATTAAAATCAATCAATATTATATTTTCCAAAAAACATTTAATATCATTAAAACAAAAGAAAAACACCCACAAATACAGAAACTTTTTGACCAGTTGTTTTTTTTGTCCCTGTAGTTAAAAATGAATGAGAAATGCAAATTGTTTATTATAAGATCTTAGAAAAGTAAATACATCCATCTACCTGAATATATTTTCCATAGACCAGCACTCGCAATTTGTTCGCCAAGTTCATACTGGCGAAGTACAGATGTTCCAGCAACGTATGAAACGACTATTAAGCAATAATATTACCAACCAATATTTCAATTATAAAACAAAATAATAAAGGTTGCAAATTGTAGATTAATTAAAAATACCAAGCCTCGTTTATTTTTTTTATACCTTGTTGAAGCATGTTTGAAAAATTCTGTTTAAAATTTTTTTTTTAAATTCTAATCTGGTATGAAAAGTAAATTATAAGGTAATAAAAATTTGAAATGAGTTTCTGTACTTGAAAGATCTAAATAAACTTGATTCTTTTTTAATTATTTGTTTGTTTTAAATTTTAATGATTTTTCGATAATCCAATTATTATTACATTACATGTGTTTCACCAAATTAAAACTTTTGAAGCGTCAGCTCTAACAAAACTTATTTGTTTAAAAACCATAATATAACAAATATATTTATTAATATTAAACAACAATTCGTAAAATTCCGAAATATTTTGTTTTCTTTAATTGGAAGTCACGAATAATTAATGATTCAGGCCTAATATTCTCTATTAAGGATGGAAGGAATCAGTTTACCATCTTTAATAGCCAAATTTTTACAATATTATATATATACGGACAGGGATGTTTTCTAGTAAAATATGGTTATATCAAAAATTATTTTTCGTAAATATAAAATCTATATTTAATATATAAAAATCGTTGAAACGAGGGTTGAATGTGGAGTTTTTGGAACATTCTGTGAGGCTTTGGATAATCGAGAGGCTTTAACATTCTCCTTAACAATAATCCAGAGCCGTGTTTCCCTGAAATTTAATGCATCACCATATTATCAGGAATTGGTTTATACGTTAGAAGGATGAGAATAATTGCAATGTTTTAAAAACTTAAAGTATTGAAGTATAATTTTCAATGTCTAATGCTCAAACGGATCATTTTGGTGTTCCAGATTTCTAGGAGCAGTTTTCCATGAGATACAATAGTTATGTTGCTTTGACGCTTTTAATGATTACGCAAAACAAATATAGTGATAGGAATCTAGAAGATATCACTCCATGTTTTGTTTGTTTTATAAAAAAAAGGGGATTTCTTTCCGTGTTTCCATAATAATATTCGTAATTATTTCGGATACTCGTAATTATTTCGGGTGCTTGTGAATGCCAATTATTTCAGATATTTGTATAAATTCTAACAAACTATTATTAATTTTTTCTTGTTCTTTAATTGATAAAGTTTCTCTTTTGGACATCATCAATTTGATTGTTTATTTCAAGCTATATCAATAAATTATATCATCACACATCAAAAAACCACCATCATTTTTTATCAGGTGTAAGAATATTATGACGTTTTAAAAATGATTTATACAATTGAAGTATTAGGAAATTTTTTTTGCAAATTCCTTATCTTTATTATCTTTGAAAAGTGTTTGTTATATAGTCAATACTATTTGTTATCAATTGATAATCATTCATAACAAATGATTATATTCAAAATAAATATATACAAGTATCCAAAATAATTACAAATAAATTATATATGGGGCATGCTGCAACAAGCCAGACAAAGTGAATTACAGGGATCAAAATTACATTTATCACCATGATTGTTTTTAGTCAAAAGAAAAATGCAAATTGATAATTATATGAGACTGAAAGACAAAAAAGAAAATTTTTATTAAAGATGTTGAATACTTGTTCATAGTAGGATTACTCAGTCTTTTCACCAAAGTTTTATTGACCTTCTAATAGTCCTGATTAAAGATGTATGCATAATATTAAAATATTTTGATAATACCTCCTCATTGACCTGCACATATGATTAGGGAATAAGATAGTGAAAATTTATGCATAAAATATTGGAGTGTTCCATCCTTGTATATATTAATTAGAAAATTAATTATGAAGAATATATAATTTCTTATCCACCAATTTTAATATTTGAATTGACTCAGAGAGATGGTAATTCATATCATCCATCAAATCAATTAGACTTTCCATTGCATCTTTATTGCAAATCAAGTGAAGAAACTTTGAAATATATGTTGACAGCTCATGCATTTAGTACCTTACCAGGTGGACATTATTTCTACTGTAAAGTAATACAAAGCTTCAATGATCAAATGGCTGTCTACAGATATAATGATTTGGAGGATGGAGGAATGGCACATTTAGAATCAAAAAATATAACATCTATTGCTGGATGTCAAACTTTAACTGTTTTAGTGGCCTATACATTGAATAATCCCAATTCATTCATCAATCATTTTAATAGTAGAGCAAGTAAGTATTAAATGAAAACAAACTATATATTACATTTATACAATCACTGATTTTAGAAAATTTTTTAGAAAATTTTTTAGAAAAATTGTCATCAGATTATAATCACAATATAAAAATTCCTAATGAAGAAAATATTTCAGGAATAGATTGTAAGTTTATTTACAAAAAAAGTATTAGTTATTCAACAG